TTGATAAAGAACTGGCCTTCAAGTTTTAAAAAAAGGGCAGACAAAAGTATCCTGGTAACACACAGAGCTACAGGAAACAAGGTATTTTGAGCAGTGCTTCTTACTAAACACCCGAACACAAGCAAACAATGATTAATCATGTAGGCAGGTGGGATATCAGCATGTATCACACTTGAATGTGATTTGATCTCAACCTAAAAGCATTACATTTATTGGTAGAAACCAGAGAGTGGTTTTTTTTTAAAAAAAAAAAAAAAAACTTTAAGCAGCTATAGATTACATCTGACTTCTCACTCACAATATCTGCTGTTATTTTTCTTAATAGGCAAAAAGCTTAAGTACAGCAGTAATATTTTGTTTCACTTTGAGCTAAATAAAATACTTTTCTTATAAATATTGTAGATTTTTACAACATTGCAATTTTCTCAGTAAGTGCACTTACAGGAAAGTCTTAAAAGCAATAATACACAAAACAGCTGATAATTTACACTTAATTAGAAGACTTGTTCATCTATTACATACTTCAGTTGCACTCTTTACAACAGCTCATACACATATACATGATTCACAAAAACCAGTTATGTTGGTTTCAGCCAAGTATAAAATAGTACATTTAAAGAAGTACAAGTATACCACCTTTCTCTTCATATTTACAGCTATAAAAATCTCAACATGCTTTGTTATCTTTAAATAGACTGGCAAAAGCCTTTACAGTGGAAAAATGATTAAGCATCATTACCTCTCCCTGCATCCCCTCCAAAAGAGGAAAAAGCCAAGCAAAACAAAAAAGCACTACACTGAACGACAGCATTAATTCTAAGCCCACTGTGAAGGCATACAAAAAAAATAAAAAAAAAATAAAAAAAAGGGTTGACACCTCTTTTCACGGTAATCTACTCATGGAAAAACATTTTAAGAGCCTGAAGTGTCCTTGAAGAGTGAGTTCCTCAAGATGCTGCCTAGCTTTTCCCTGGCTTGGTGGCTTTGCTCTAAGGAAGATACTTAAGACAAATGGCCTGATTTGCTCAATACTACTACAAGCAACCCAAGCCTTCCAGACCCTGCTATTAAGGAGCAGTACTTCAAATTTGTTTTCATGCATGTTGTTAACTTTCACTGGCTTTAGCAACCTTCGGTCAAGGCCTCATTTCTCACTTTCAAACTGTGACAAGGTTGCTGCCATCCAGCCCTGGATCTCCAGCATGTACCCTCTGGTTACACCGTATGCTCTGCATCAGTACAACTCTACAACCTCACAGGCCTGTGCACTGCTCAGGAAGAGCCACACTTCTGGGAGCCACCAACAGTACTGAAGTGCTTTGGGCAGTGACTTGAACATCATGGAACACAAACTACTCAGGATGGAGTTCAGCAGTACTATCATTCCCAGTTTCAAACCCAGATATTTCAAAGGTTTACATTAAAAAACATTCTTCAAGTAACACTGTAAAGTATTTTTAGTATCTCTTTTTTTTCCTATAGAAATAACAAAAAAAAAAAACCTCAAGAATGTTGACAAAAATGAATAAAGTACTTTAAATATTCAGTAGCCCTGCTACATCATAATACAGGAGGGATGACAATAATATTAAGAGAAAAAGGTTATTCAAACAGCCTACCTTTTCAGTGTCTAAGGGAAGAATAAGTCTGCTTCTCTAACTATATACAAAAACAAATGTACATTACAGTCTTCCTTTAAAGGAACTTCCTTCCACTGCCTGCTTCCTTCCACTTCCTTCCTCTTAAGTTCCTAAGTTAAAGGCCTAAAAGAGGCAGAAATATCCTAAACAAGCATTTGCAGAATTTTCCATTTCACTCCACCCCACAATAGTCCTTAATCTCAGTTCACACCAACTCCAGTAATTTTCTTTTACTTACTGTTTTAGATTGTTATCTGTTACTCTGTAGTTGATGCAAGATCCTTATTGAAAGATACCATCTTCAAGACTAACAGCATCTTAAAGAACTTGACTTGTTCCTTGGGAAATTCAGGGCATAACCAAAACCACAAAACTCACAAAACCATGGCAATAGTAGTGATAAATTTTACACCCACTGTATCCTACTAGGCAGAAGCTCCCCTGAAAGCATAGGTGATGACTGCATTTTATATAGATGTTCTGGAATTCCCTTCTCTTTCCTCACTGATTCACCTACACCTGTTTCGACCTCTTTTCCTTGAGTCCCACTAGTTCCATTACAAAGAGTCTGAGGTTTCAGCAACTGCTGTCCTTGTTCAAGTTCAAAATTCATAATAAGGGAATCAACCAGAGTGTCCAATTCAGAGTTCATAAAAGGCATCTGGATAGGATTGTTTGCAGAAGTAGAAGGCAAGATAAATAAATCCAAATAGCTGTTAAAATATCCAGCTAACGTGCAAATCTTTTCTGCACAGCTCCTGAGATGACTTGTATTTTGGTATGACCCTATATTTAAAAAAGAAAGAAAGAAAAAGGAGAATCAAATATAGTATTTTGCAAGAAAAACATCAAGCAGTCTATTCGCCTTACTAGCCTGCTTTAGGCTACAGTTTACTGCCAAGACAGACAATAAACCAGCTAAATACCTTGTAATGTAGAAGAAACTATTTGATAGACTTCAGCTAGGCATTGATCCAATTCAAAATATTTTGCAGCAACATTTATGCTTTTCTTTATTTCCCGATATACACAATCTTCCTCTGTTAACTGAGATGCTCTTTCTTTCTGTGTTTAAAAAAAGAAATTGCTTGAAAAGACTCAATAACGGAAGTGTTTACATCTTAATATACTATCAAGGATTCAAGCATAGCAAAACAGGTCAACACTGAAATGCAAAATGAAAGATCACAAAATATACAATAATCCTGAAGAAAGCACAGATTTGATAGCCTTAAAGAAAGCAAATAGTGCCATAAAGAGTTTTCACACTTAAAAAATAGATGAAATAATATCTCCAGCTTCTGATTCAAAATGTCAACTATAGCCACAAAGTACTGCAGTAGCTACTTCATCATAATTACAGTAGCATTATTGAATTTGAGGCTTTCAAATTAGAATTTTCATAATAAACACATTAAAGAAAAATAACATAGACACTGTAAGTAAAATTAAAATCAAGTAGCTTTGGATAGAAATAATATGGCCAGAAAAAATCTGGCATTCCAGCCACAGAAGTGCTACAATAGGAAGCACTATCATATGATTACAGGTATGTAAAGGGTATTTAGCTGCTCCTTTTTCTTGCATACACCCTTAAAAACTAAATCCCAGCCTTCAAGACATTTAACATTGTGAAACACTGCTTACCTTTTTGCAATAAGATATGTTATTTCCAAGGAATTCGGCTAAAGCCACAGCATTGTCCTTTATTCGATTTTGAATCTGGGAAAAACACTTTGGTTATATTGCATAATTGATTCAAGACACAATAAATATCCATCAGCATTTTAGAACCATAGCAGTGATCACTGGCATGGTAACAAGGGAAGCATTCAAAAGCAAAAGCAATGAGAAATGTGAGTTCCCTGGAACAGCATGTATCAGGGAAGGTTGGAGAAGAAAAAGAAAGTTAATTGGTAGAACATTTTTACCTATATAAGGAAGATTTTCAGGTTTTTTCCTCCCTTAAATACAACTCATTTAAATATTCTGAAAAATAAAGGCACTAAAATGCTTTTGAATGAAAGCATTTGTACAACTTAATGTAGTAAAACATTCTATCGGGAGAAAAATTTTAAGTATGAAACTTTTTACTATGAGCAACTAAGACGACCCCTTCTTAAAATTACAAAAAAAGAAAATTAGATTGAGGTCTTAACATAGATTTAAAAGCTTTAGGCATTGATTGGTACAATATCTTTTCATCTTACCATGAGTATGGAAGGTCATAGGACAAATTTATCAAGAAATAAAGCAAATGTGCTGCAATTATCCTACAAATATGTTATAAGAGCAGCTGCTTAAATTAAAATAGCACTGCTGCTTGGCAACCTAGAAAGTAGTTGAAAGTCAGTCTCAATTCCAGTAAACAACACTAAAATGAGGACATTCCTGACATTTATTATATCAATTGCTTCAGTCATCTATTTTCACTGTAAGGACCTCAATTCAGCAACATGCTTCAACATATGAAGCACATGAGAAGACTAGCTCTTAAAAGATAAAACTACTTAAATACCTAGTTAGCATGCTGCTTGAGACTAAGGCTGTAAGAATGGTATGTGACAAGTAGTTTCTTAGACTCTCTAGCCATTTCCTTCCACTAAGTACAGTAGGAGTAAGTGGAGGCAATAAATACCAACCCTTACCCTTTACGTTAATAAAAAGTTCCTGTACCTTTAAAAAAGCTGTACTTAACAGTAGTTTATATAATAACAGATCTACTTGACTTGTTATGCTCATTTTCATATGCTCCCTCTTTCATTGTTACACCATGTGACTAAGGATCTAGGGAAACAGTGAGATTTCTGCCTGTGAAGGCAGTACACAAAAAAATGCTCTGAATAAAATACACTGTGGTCAAATCTACATGTAGCAGAAGTCTGCAGTATAACACTCTTTGCAAAACTGCAACCAATGCAGTGCCATCCATCCCAAATCTGTTGGCAATTTTATTCCTACTATCAACATTTCCAAAGAGATTTGCTGGAAAATAGAGACCAATGGAGTCGCTCTAAGATGACACACCAATAATTTTTAATATCATTTTTCATCTCACCTCATTCTGTGGGCATTGTTTCACTAGTTCTCTCTGTACCACTCCTGCTTTTTCCTGTACTGTATCCATAAGAAGCTCCAGGCCCAAGCCTACTCCATTGTAAATGGCAAGTAGAAACTCCTTCTGAAAGAGTCAAAACATTGAAGTAATTGATATGACCTTGAAATAAAACAAGATTTATGGTGATAAATACAACATTTCAAGACCGTTAAACACCTATTTAGTTCCATCATAATGTTAGGCGAATACTAAAAAGACTTCAGTCAATGGACCAAAAAGTGTTACGAACATGAAATTGTATGTTATATAGAGCTTGCTATACTTTCGAGCACAGTAAATATGAAAGTCAACATTAAAATCACTTTGTATTTAAATTCTATATCCTAGGATACACAAGCACAAAGAATAAGGAAAATTCAAGATTGTAAGTGTAAAGTCTACACCTCTTTTTTCCTCCTGAAACTCAATTAGAAAGTCACCATATATGATACATTTTTTCTTCACCTGTAGGCAAGTTGCCATAATGCTGTTCTCTTCAGAAGAGAAGATATCAGTTCTCCTGAGTACTGCCAACTGTCCTATATATTTCATTATTTGTCTTATTGTGTGGTCTACTTTGTTCCATGCTTCCATTACCATGGAGGATATATCTGAAGAACATCCCTGGCAAATGAAGACATATCAGTCATTCAAACTAGAAAGCATCCGTGGGTAAAAAGCATACATTCTCTATTTCACAAAAACTTATCTTCAAGCATTTCCAGCTTTATATCTTCTCATTTCCCATGGCTCAACTACCACAACTAAGAGAAAAGCCAATAACTTGCATCCATAGAGGAAAAAAATCATTATGCTACAAAATGTTAAAAAGATATATATGAGCACAAAACTAATATAAACAAGAAGAATACTTGGTATGTTTTTTATAATTATATAATAGCACTCTAAAGATAAACTAAAATAGCAGTGCTTACCACCACTTATTTTATTTTCCTCTCTTATTTTTTCAAGGTGGATGGGAAGTACTGAATACAACTGACCTTTTTACCCGACATTTTAGAAAAGCACTCAAAGTCAGGACAAAAAAAAAAAAAAAAAAAAAAAGTTAGACATTTTTGAAGATTCCTGAAATACTCAGAGGAAGTAGCAGAGACAATTCAGCTAAAACTAGTCGTGACAGGTCTACAAACGTACACAAAGGAGTCAGCTCCTCTTCCTCAAAAAAAGCAAACACTCAGGATTCTCTCATGCTGACAAGCCTACACTATTGCCAGGGCCCAGGCACACAGAAGGCCACACTGCAATGGGCATATGAAAGCACCAGTTTAGCTAGTACAAAATACCTTTTGTTATTCATCTTGTCTAGGTTGGACCATTTAAGACTATGCATGCTCCTTGTTCTTAGGAAGTTTATGGCCAGAGGCATAGAAACTCTCTACACTCAATTCTGTTATGTTTTCTAGAATGCATATACTTTACCTGCAATAGTAACTGTAAATAACCTCCCAAGTTCTTTACTTCCTGTTTTAACTCTTCTTCGGTTTTTATTGATGTGGAGCACTTTGAGACATTGTCGAGCCAAAGCTTGGTTAGGACCACAAGCTGGTCAAAAGCAGAGATAATTCTGATGCTATAGGACTGAGCAGCACGATCAAGAAGGAAAACTAAAAAAAGGCAAAAGAGGGAAAAAAAAAAAAAAAACTATTAGAAGCTCTACTTTGCAAACAAGAGTAGGAATATTTATTCTTTTGATAGGCAAATGTGAATGTTTTCAGAGCTGAAAGGAAAAACAAGTAATATTTAATTTCATATTTATCAAAACAACTTACTGTTCTCTTGACAGTCCTCATCTTGCTGTTCATAGGCTTTTGAAATGGCAGATACTCCCGTGAAAATGGTAAACAAACTAGTTAGAAGATTATCTGCTATGCTCTTTCCTCCTTCATGATTCTGTTCCAGCAAATCTAAAGCTGAACTCACAGATTCTTTGCAAATTCCAGGAATAAACAATTCAGAAGAGCTTGGACATATACTGGATTTGTTCAGTGAGCCTGTATTGACATAAAGGCAAAATTATCAAAAGATTCTCAGCTGTAGGAACAAGCAGATCTTTGTAATGACTATTTTATACTGTTTCTTCTACACTGCTTAATTACTAAAGATCAAATGGTTTGAAAAAAATAGAAATATGTACACAAGAAAACCTGCATAGTTTCTGTATTCTTAGTACAAAATCCAAATAACATGAATCCACATCTCAAGATCAGAACCTACAAAGGCATAGAACATGGAAAGAAGAACAGGTATCAGGCCATCTAAAATAACTTGCTGCATAAAACATTTGAAAGTGAAGCATCTAGTACTTGAGGGAAAAAAA